TGTCTCTCCCCACCCCTCTTTTTTTTTTAAACAAATAATAATATCTGCGCTGATAGGAAGGACACAATCATTCTATGCACAATCTTCACTCTACATTTCTCAATATTGTTCAACGGTGAAGCCAGCCCATTCCTGGATGGGACATTTTCAGATGGATAGCCAACCATTCAGTAGGGTGGGTGGAGGGGAGGAAGGAAAGAAAAAGCCAAACATTAAAAATCCTTCTCAAGGAAATCGATTCTGGAAATTTAGGCACAGGGTGAGGAGGCATTATGGAGGGTGGGGGCAACGCTTCTTCCTGGGAGTGGGGTATGTGTGTAGTGCCCCAATGGCTACTATTATTTACCTTGTGACCTTGAGCAAGTTGCTTGACTCCTCTAGCTCTCAGCTTCCTTCTCTGTAAAATGAAGGGGTTAGACTATTTTAACCCAACTGGATCATGAGCTTGGATTTCAAAAACATGTGTCCTTCAAGAAGCAGAATAAGCGCTCAGCTCCTTGGAGAGATTGGGAGCTGTGTTCAAATCCTGCATCAGACTAGCTGGGTGACTTTGGGAAAGTTACTTATCTTCTGCCTTAGTTTCCTTACATGTAAGATGAGGGGCGTTGGACTTGATACCTCTAAGGTTCTAGCTCTATGATGAAAGAATCCTATTTATGAACCTCATGCCAACATAGATTCTTCAGGAACAGATTGGCCAGCTTGTTCTCTGGAAGGCTGAGCCCCAATCTCCTGTGAGCTCAAACTTAGTTTCTAAAGGTAAGGCCCAATGGGGTTTGGCTTGTAATAGGCAACAGTATCTTTGCTCCAGCTAACAGAGCTGCCAAAACTTGGCCCAGACAAACCTATTTGTGTCAGTGGACTTGGGGTCTCCTGGATTCTTTTAAAGCCTGGTACCCAAAGTGCAAGAAACAGGACAGAGAGGGAAGGCTGGGAGTTGGGTTAGCCTCTGTGACTTCCAGGAAAGATCATGGACAAGAGGAATGCATTTAAAGTGGTCTGCTTCCTGGCTTTACTTAACACTCCCCCCACCCCCCCATCCCCACCCCTTCAAAGCTAAGAACAGCTTTAAATTGAGGGCAGATTGTGAAGTGGGTAGTGATTGAAGGTAAACAGAACTTGGTTATTTAAAAATCCAACCACCAAGTTGCTGATGATGGGGGTGAAGGAGTCTGGGGCTGGGGTTTGGCATTCCTAGACAATGAGAACCACAGGCTGAAACCCTGGTGAGCACCAGGAGGAGTGTTGACTCAGCTCCTGCCCTGCCGAGTAGGTACGTTGAGTCTCTCCTCTCCTTTTCTTCCATTGCACTATAATAACCCTTCCAGGTAAGTGCTACAATAGTCCTTCTTCCCACCTAACAGATGGGGAAACTGAGGCAAAGTGATTATGCAAGAAGAGGCTTCATAATCTGGCTCTTTCCTACCTTTCCAGGCTTCTTACACCAACTCCATCTCCCACTTCTGGGCATCTTCACCAACTATGAAATTCCAGGCCTAGAATTCTCTCCTTCCCATTTCTGCCCTCTGGCTTCCCTGACTTCCTTCAGGTCCTAGAGAAAATCTAACCATCTACATGAAATTTCTTCCTACTCCACTTAACACTACTGCTTTCCCTCTGAGATTATGTCCACTATAGGATAAAAGAAACTCTGGCTTTCTTCAAAGCTCAGTTCAAGGGCCCAGGTTCCTACAAGGGCCCATCTCTGACTTCCCCTCTCCCATACTGCTTGCTGGGACTTCCTATTCAGGGGCGATGGAGCTGGCTGCTACCAGCTCTCTAGGAAGAATTAGTAAATGTTCAGTGTGAGCATTTATACCTTGAAAATGAACAAAACCTATAAGGAAGGACTTGATTTGTGAATTTTTGTGAATTGTCTCTAGACAAAAGAAAAGACAGCTAGGTCAAGCATCGGATAGAGCTCTGGGCCTGGCATCAGAAAGACTCATCTTCACTAGTTCAAATCCAGCCTCAGACATTTCTCAGCCATGAGACCCTGGGCAAGTCACTTCATCGCCCTCTGCCTCAGTTTCCTCATTTGTAAAATGGGAGTAGTCCTAGGACCTACTTCATAAAGTTGTTCTGAGGACCCGGTAAGATAATATATGCTAGGGCTTTTCCAAACCTTGTCGTTGAGTCATGGCTGACTCTTTGTGACCCCCTATAGGTGTTTCTTGGCAAAGAAACTGGTGTATTTTGCCATTTCCTTCCCCCCTGGATTAAGACAAGCAGGTGAAGTGACTTTCCCAGGGTCACACAGTGAGTGTCTGAGGCTGGATTTGAACTCAGGTCTTCCTGATTTCAGGCCCAGCACTCTACCTGCTAAGTCACCCAGCTGCCTCCTCCCAAACCTTAAAGGCTACCAGAATACCTGCTATAATAATTCTTTCAAGGCTACTGTGGTCAATGATCCCAACAGATCCTCAGGCTTATTAGGGGGAGGGGAGCAGTGGAGAGGGAGGCAGGTGAGGTGAAAGCCAAGGTGGGTGCTGTGTGGTCGAGCCCAATACCCCTTCACAATTCTAGGCTGCTCTTCCTGTGTATTTTAAATTGCTGAGAAGATGCAGTGAGTGTTCTGCTGGGTATCACACAGGAGGTAGGTGAGGGAAGAAGAAACAGTTTTGCTTTTGGTTTGGAAGGGGCCTTTGGAGGTCACCTGGGCTCATCTTACAGATAAGCATGGCCAGGCCCAAAGACAGAAGTGACTTGCCCAGAGCTGAGGTCTGAACTTTGGTCCCTGGCCTCTGGATCAGAGCTCTGGCCCCAAAGAACCCTCCTTGCACAACAAGCCCACAGACTGTGGAAAGACCCTTCCCCAGGGGCAAACGATAATGTTCACACATTTTGGGTCGATAAGAAAGTCTGAGAAATATGCCAGCTGACAGAAAGTCTTTGGATTCGTTGCCAACTCTTTCAAACTAGGAAATTATCAGCTTGAGAGATGGAAGAGACTTTAGAAATTAGCTAGAACAACTGTCTCCTTTTATAAATGAAGAAAACCGGGACCTTCTCCCAAAAGTGACCTGCCCAAGGTCGTACAGCTAGAAAGTAACATAGGCAAAGCTGAACCTCAGGTCTTCACCATCCAAATCCCCTGTTCTTTCCACTAAATTTGACACTTTAGGTTATGTTCTGGGATCTCTCTTAGAACTGCTGAACACTTGAAACCCTCCCCCCACGACTGGTTCTCACATTCTTTCTGTACAAACACTCTATGTCCTGTCTTCATTTATGTCTGGCCACTGGGCCCAGATGTCTCCAGAGGTGAAAGTGAGGCTGGTGACTTTGCACAGCCCTGCCTCACTTCAATCCAATTCATTTGCATGTCACAGTTCTCTTCCAGAAGGAAGGACAAACCACAATTCTCCCTTGCTAGAGAAAAAGGTACTAAGCAAAACCCAGCCCCGGTATGCACCTGACAGCGTGTGCCCTGTTCTTCTGCCCCTCAGTCCTTTCCTCTTTCTGAGTTGCTGCACGATTTTTTAATTTTTTGACCCAGCTTGGCATGTAGGTGTGGATAAGTATAGTCAGACCATAAACATTTATTAAGCTTCTACTGTGTGCCAAGCACTGCTAAGGACCAAGGCTAAAAAAGAAAGGCAAAAGACAATTCCTGCTTTCTAGGAGTGTAATGGGGCAGAGAATACGCACATCAGCTGGGGACAAACGCGGCAGATAGAACGAAGAGGAGATAAGCAGCAGAGGGAGGACACTAGAATTAAGAGGACTGGGAAAGGCTTCCTGTAGAAGGTGGGATTGGAAGAAAGGCTGAATAAATGTTTAACTTGAATTGTTCGAGCTGAAATGGACTTTCGTGGGGTTTATGGTTTATCGAAGGAGCATTGGATGGTTTGGAGAATCTGGTTCGGATTTCAGGGTCTGCAAACCCGTCACTGGGGTGAGCCCGAGCAAGCGCTTCCTCTCCTGGGACCAGGTTCCTCCCTTGTAAAATGAGGAGGTCGGACCAACTCCATTCCAGTTATCAAGCCCATTTACACAACAGAAAACCGAGTCCTTTGCTCAAAGTTCCCAACTCTTGCCTCCTCCAAGAATTTCACATTTAAATTTTTAAAAAGTCATACGCGATGATCCCCCGGTTTGGCTGGAAGCAGCAACCTTTTTGGGCCCAGGGGCTTATCGCTCCATCCTCCACCTTCCCTCCCACCCCCGCAACTTCCCAAGGCGGAGAAATAAAATGATGCATTTATTTGGGAAGCCAGCTGTCCCCCGGCTCTCCGGGGAAGGCCGGACTTCTCCAGGTCTCAGCTGCCCCCCAGCTCTGGGGGCCCTCTCTCCACTCTCCTTTCCGACCCACCACCGCTGCCGCTGCTGCTGCTGCCGCTGCCGCTGCTGCTGCCTTTGCGGCCGCCGCGGAGGCGGGGACGCGAGCTGGAGGAAGGGGCGGAGGGAGCCGCGGGGGGCGGTGCCCAACCCCAGCTGAGCGCTCTCGGGCACGTGACCGCGCCGGGGCTCGGCTCTCGGCTGCTCTCGCGCCCCCTCGGAGGAGCCCCGGGGAGCGTCTCGCGCCCCCAGCCCCAGCGCCAGCGCCAGCGCCAGCGCCAGCCCCAGCCCCAGCCCCAGCCCCAGCGCCAGCCCCAGCCCCAGCCCCAGCCCGGCCCGGGCCCGGGTAGCAGCGGCGGCGGCGGCGGCGGCGGCGGCAGCAGCAGCAGAAGCAGCAGCAGCAGCTGGAACAGCAGCAGCGTCTCGCGCCCTTCCGCGCGCTCCGGGGCGCCCCGGGCAGAGCCCGCGCGGGGAGCTGCGTGCCCTCGGAGGAGACCGCACCTCGGTGGCAGTTACAAAAAATAAATTTGCATAGAAGTATTTCTCGCGCGTCGGCGGGCACGCACGCACACGCACAGCTCCCGCGGGCTCCAGCCGGACAGACGGACGCGGGGAGCAGGATTTCTCCGGAACACTGCCCCTCTCTCTGCACTGGGAGCAGCGCCCCCGCTTCATGCCCAGGGCCCCCTCGGCGGGACGAGGAGCCGCGGGCGGCCGCCGGCCCGGCCGGCACGGACTGCTGCAGCCCCGGGAGCCTGAGCGCGGGGGCGGCCGCCGGTTGGCCGTGCGGAGCCCCGGAGCGGTAGGTGGGCCGGGGGCTGGGGCTGCGGGCACCTCGGGAGGGGCTCAGGCGAGGAGCAGCGGCGGCAGCGGCACCACCGGGCTTCGGCGCCTCCCCGCGCAGCCCACGGTCTCCGCCTGGTGGCTGCTGCTGCCGCCGCGACCCCGGCCGCCGGGGGACTGCACTGGGGGTGCTGGCGTGGGGCGCCCTGCCCGGGGACCGCATCTGCACACCCTGGGAGCTGGGGGTGGGGGCGCGGCAGCGCGCGGATCGGGGGTGGCTGTCTGGGTGCTGGCCACCGACCCCTCCGAAATTCCTGAAAGCCCCCGGGGACCGTGCTCACCAACTTGGGCAGCGCCGGTCTCCCTGCTTCCCCTTCGCCCGTTCTCTCCTTCCCTCTCTCTTCTCTGTCTTACTTCATTTTCTCTCCCTTCCCCCTTTTTCTCTCCTTCCCTTCTCTTCCTTTCTCTCTCTCCTTTCATTTCTCCCTCTTTCCGTTTCTTTTCCCCTTCTTTCTTTTTCTTCTTCCCTTTATCTATCTCTTCCTTTCTTCTCCTCTTCCTCTTGAGAGAGACGGGTGGGGAGGTGATGTCCTCTCCCACTTTGCGTTTCTCTCTTTCCTTCCCTTTCTGTCTTTTTCCCTCCTTCTCCGCTTCCTCTTGGCTGTACCTCCTGAAGGAATGGGGTGGGGAGGTGATGTGCTCTCCCTCGGTTTCTCTCCCTTCTTCCCTCCTTTATCTTTCCTTCCCTTTCTCTTTCTCCCTCCTTTCACACTCTTCCTCCAGAGGAAAAGGGGTGGGAAGGTGATCTCTCTCTCTCTCTCTCTCTCTCTCTCTCTCTCTCTCTCTCTCTCTCTCTCTCTCTCTCACTCACTCTCTCCCTTCTTTCCCTCGTCCTCTTGGCTGTACCTCCAGAGGGAGACGGGTGGGGAGGTAATGTGTTCTGGGTGGCTGAGATCTCTAACTACCTGACCTCCTCCCCTTTCCTTGCCCAGGTAGAAGCTTTGGGGGTCCGGCAGTCATCTCCGAAAAAGTTTCTCTGAGAATACCTAGTTTCACACCCCCCCCTCCCCGCTCCGCCAGCCTTGGCCAGTGCCCAATCCTGGGATCCGCGACTAGCCTGGGGTCCTGTCCCTGGGGGTGGGGGTGGAGGGTGGAACGGATATCTCTTCTATGTTGGGGGCAGAGCTGGGCCACCCTCCCCCTCCAGCTGTCAGGTAACACTCCTGTCCTCTCCTGTTCAGCTTAGCCTTGGGCAGCCCAGGCTTCCTAAATGAGTCTTAAGAGAGTTGAAGGCGAAGAGGGAAGGAGTCTTAAGACTTGGAAGACAGCTAGTCCCCCAGCGCTTTTTGTAAAAAGCATGAACTGATTCAAAACAACAACAGGCAGCAACACTGCTTTTTTTGGAGGCGTTCAGCAGCCCCCGTAATTTGGGATGAGAGAGATTGACAGAGAATCCCAGGGAGAGGAAGAGAGAGAGACTGGAGCAGAGAAAGCTTAGGTAGGGCCGAGCTGGTCTGCAGAGAGCTGCAAAGCTTGCTTGGCCTGAGCACTGGAGAATTCAGATTTTCCTCCAGCTCACTAAGGAAGTGAAGTGTGTGTATGTATTGCAGCCCGTAGTAACAACTGCTCGGGAGACACCCTATGCTGCCAGTTACAGAAAGCTGCTGGAGTCTTGGCGTCCTCTGCCTCTCCAGCTTCAATTGAGGGAGGACCATCCAGAAGTCACAGAATTGCGGGGAGGAGGGGATGCTCTGGGTTTTCATAACGAGGGAGCCTCAGAGGCCTCCATTCTCTTTCCCTCCTTTCTCTCCCTCTCCTTCCTTTCTCTCCCTCCTACCTCCCCTCTCCCCCTTCTTTTCCCCCACCCCACCCTCCCTCTTCTTTTCCCCCACCCCACCCTCCCTCCTTCTTTTCTCCCACTCCACCCTCCCCTCCTCTTTCCCCACCCCCCTCCCCATCTCCCCTCCCTTTCTTCCTGTCTCTCTCCCTCTCCCTTCTCTCTCCTCTCTCTCCCTCTCCCTCCTTTCTCCCCTCCCTTTTCCTCCTTCTCTCTCCCCCTGTCTCCTCCCCCTCTCCTCCAGTCTCTCTTCCCTCCTTCCTCCCCCTCCCCTCCCCCTCTCTCACCTCCCTCTCTCTTGCCTCTCTTCTCCCCTCCTTTTGTACTCTGTCTTTCTCTGTGTATCTCTCTCCCTCTCTCTTCCTCCCTCTCTCTCCAAATTAAATATATAGTTTTCAGTTGAGTTGGCATTTGCTGCTTCCTGAGTGAGTAATTTTAATTAAACCCTCTAGCGTCAGGGACTGGTCATGAGTTGAGTTTTAACAGGTGTTCATTGTAAAAGCACCATCCTTCTCGATGACTAAAGTTTGATGGTCAGAAAAAAAGACTTAATTTTAACATTCAAAATAAGAGGAGGAAAGTCTGGAGAAAGAGGAGGATAGAAAAGTGGCCAGGGGTCAGTCAGTGATCAGACATTTATCTAAGTGCCGGATGCATCCCAGATACTGTTCTAATTACTGAGAAGACAAAGAGAAATGAGTAGTCTCTTCTCCTGAGCAGTGGGCCCTTTTATTGCCTGTGTTCAGAGAAGTAAATAGAAAAAAATTATAGATACATACGGTCCATTGCATTTGGATGAGTGTTCCCTGCACCAAACTTTGGGAAAAGTGCAGGGAGTCTAGGCTGCCTAGTTAGTACTGAATTTACAGTTCTGACTTCTGGGATGCTAACAGTGTTGCCCTGGGCAAGTCACTTAAGCACCCTATGACTCAGTTTCCTCATCTGTAAAATGAGTGAGTTAGACTCCATGACCCTAAAGTCCATGCCAGCTCTAAATCTAACATCCTATGATCTAGGTTAATTCATAGGTGCCTAGATTAGAGCTGGCAGGGTACCCAGGCACTTATAGCAGCCGAGGATTTTAGATCCAGAGTTGACTGGGACCTCACAGAGGTCATGTAATACAACTTCATCATTTTACACAGAAGGAAAGTGAGGTCCAGTGAAGGCTGGACAGAGGTCCCATAAGTAGCAAGTTGGCAGAGTTGGGAATTTGAACCCAAGTCCAAAAACCCTTTCCAGGGCACCACATTCCTACCCCTGCCCCTGTGCCGATGACCCCCGCCCCCCATCTCTGTTATGTATGGCATAGAAGCTTCAGAGCTAAGTCCTAAATATACTCAAATATCCCTTTTGCCTTGATCCAGTCCCTGGCACATAAAGGCTTAATAAATACTTGTTTATTGATTTACTCTTGCTTCTTATGACCACAGACAGGGTGGTGGCTTCCTTTCCCAGGGGTAGGGTGGGGCAGAGTCCCCTCCTCCCCCCATATATGACCCATCACTCTAGAGTTGGCCTGTTATGCCAGGCACCAGAAACCCTGGAAGGGGAGAGACTCCCAGTAAGCTGTGTGACCTTGCCCAAGTTACCAACCTCTCTCCAGGGCTTATTCTCCCCATCTGCAAAGCACAGTGTTTGGGTAGATGATTTCCAAGGGCCCTCTCAGCTTTCATAGTCATTCTGTGAGCCCTACCCTGGGCACTGTTTGTCTTCTTGAAGTTGGGTGACTCTAAGTGGGTCACACTGTCAGCTCTGAGCTGGCGTGGGATTGGCTCTCAGAAGAAGGGCAATGTCGTTCAGCAGATGCAGCTCAGTCCTACCGGGTGAAATGAGTGCAGATGTTTAATTTCTGCTAGTGAACCATTGGGGGCATTCCAGCTTACTGCAAAACTCCCCAGATACCCAAGCTGGCCCACAAGAAGAGGCCCCTAATTAGCACTTACTGATCCTCTTCTGTTTCATTCTGAAGTGTCTATGGGCTGCTGATCTCAGGGCTCAGAAACCGGCTGGAATCCATCCCCCGGCCATTCTTTGAAAACTTAACTTCATACCATGTTCACAAGTTGGGCTGGGGAATTTCTCCTGAATTCTCAATGAGAAATGTTATGGGGCTACACCTTTAAAAAAAATGGGGGGGAGGGTTGGGGAGGGAGAGGAAAGATGCTTTTTTCTGTGAATTGGAACAATTAGGACTTGTGGCTTTGAACTTGGAAGGGACAAATACTGGTGTACTGCCCGAGTGTTCCTCCAGAAAGATTGTATCTGTGTAGATGGAGTTTTTCCTAAGTCTAATTGCATTTTAAATGTGCTAGGAAACCTTGCTGCTTTAAAAGAAGCCTTCTGTAAAGTGAATGACACTTTTCTCGCTCCCTTCCAGATGCACACATGTCTTAAACTGTGGAAATAATTCTGGGTGGGTTGTTTCTTTGAGTTGAGAGTTTCCATCGCCAGAGCAGCTGGGGTGAGGAGCCTGAGATCTGAATAGCTCGGATCCATTAAAGTAGAATTCTTGGATGCTCCTGTACTAGCTTTGTGACATTTCAGAATTTCTCTCAGCGCCTCCCAGCCCATGGGACCGAACATCTCCATCTCTGCTCTATTAGCTCTGTTTCTTTGACATGGTTTTTGGGATTGGGAGGGAAGCAGAATATGAGAGCTATATTATTGGTCATGTCACTTTTTGTTGTTGTGGTTCAGTCTTATCTGACTCATGACTCCATTGGGGTCAGTCGTGTGCCTACGCTGTGTCAGGCATTGTTGTGTTAAGTGCTGGGGATATTTGTTGTTGTTCAGACATGTCTGACTCTTTGTAACCTCATTTGGGATTTTCTAGGCAAAGATACTGGAGTGGTTTGCCATTTCCTTTTCCGGCTCATTTTACAAATGGGGAAACTGAGGCAAACAGGTTAAATGACTTACCCAGGGTCACTGTGTTAGTGTCTGAAGTCAGATTTAAACTCAGATCTTGGGGTGGCCAGGTGGCACAGTGGATAGAGCACCGGCCTTGGATTCAGGAGGACCTGAGTTCAAATCCAGCCTCAGACACATAACACTTCCTAGCTGTGTGACCCTGGGCAAGTCACTTAACCCCAAATGCCTCACCCAAAAAAAACCCCCAAAAACTAAACTCAGATCTTCCTGACACCAGCTGCCCTCGACACCTAGAGCTTCTGTTTACT